AGAGGGAGTCTCTCGGGATCAGAGTGTGGGCTTGGCTAGACGCAGGCGGAGAGGGAGTCTCTCGGGATCAGAGTGTGGGCTTGGCTAGACGCAGGTGAGGAGCAGGTCGCTTGGGATCAGAGTGTGGGCTTGGCTAGACGCAGGTGAGTCTCTGTGAGTCTCAGGATCAGATTGGAGGGTTTGGTTAGACACAGGTAGAGAGAGAGTATGAGTGACTTTCTGTGTCCACAGGGAAGTGGAAGATGCGGTTCAATGAAAATGAGACAAAGGAGGAGAAATTCACCACGCTGGAGGGAAAGCATGTCAGAGTCCCAGTCATGAAGAGCAAGAACTACAGGCTGGCCATCCAATACAGCGCAGCGCTGAAGGCCAAGGTACTGGGATTGGGGACTGAGACAAAAGGTTGACAGCCTTTACACACATGGTGGTTAGAGAATGGAACAAGCTGCCCAGCCGTGTGATTGAAGCTGGTGCTTTGGCTTCCTGCAAGAGACATTTGAAGGAGATCTTGAGATCGATCTAACTGTCAAACAGGCCAGATAGGTTGAACGACCTCCTCTCATTTGAGATGATTGCCATGATCTGATTTGCCGAAGCTGGGCTGAAGTTCTCAGAGTCTGGGAGCAAAAGAGAAAAGAGAGGGTGAGAGATAAATCCATCCTGCTTGCTCTGCTCCCTGCCCTCTCTAAGCCAGGTGAAATTGAATTGCTTTTCCGGGTGTGGTGGGGACGATGTCCACCGTTCCAATATGCCTCGAACTTCTGTCTTCTCTCAGGTGGCCAGGTTCCTCCTGTCTGGAGATGTGAGCCTCTATGTGTTCCTGCCTCCGGTCTTCTCCACCTCGGCTCTGAAGGAGGTGGAGGACAGGCTGAACCTGGAGACTCTGACGAAGCTGGTGAAGAACATGGAGAGTATGGAGCCCCAGGAGGCCACAGTGGCCTTGCCTCGCCTCAAACTGGACTCCAAAACTGATCTGCTTCATCTGATGGAGAGTCTGGGTGAGATAGGGGCCTCTAACACTGCACTAGTGACTGGAGTGTCCAGTCAGTGTGTC